TGTTTTTTCAATTTAAACAGTGTTGATAATGATCCACAATAAAAGGATCGAAACGTCCACTTAATTTACATTGACTGCTGTTGCGATTTATTTCCACTCCCACCTTGGATCTGCGGCTCTCTGGTTTGTGCTTTTCTTATAACTTTAAAATAAAACGAGAACTTTGATCAGAACTAACATATCTATCTGTCGAATGTTCAGCGCTAATTTATCAAAATCCGTGGAGAACAAGATCATTCACGACGCGCTGTCTTGTGCCGCAAAGCGTCTTTTTGAGAGAATAAGAATGACAAAACTTCAAAATGTCAATATATACAATGAATATGAACCTAACGTAATTAATGAATCTCGTAATTTTCGTTCTTCCACATCGAGTGATAAGGTAAATCTCTCTTAATTCGATTTTTTATTTATAATTAATTTAATTGTACACGTCAGAGTGAACTTGATTTTTGTGTCTAGATACAGATAAGCGTAAATGCGGTTGTGAATTTTATTTTACAACAGATAATAAAGTACATTAAACAAAATAGTAAATTCGCAGTCAAAATTCCTAACGTAACAGAAACACAAAGCATAGGATTTGGAATAAAGTATCATTTGAAAACATATAATGGAACTTTTGAGTAAGTACTAATTATTAAAAAAAATATATATATATATTTTGTGTAATAACAAATTTCCTTTAACAAGATGTCTATTTTTTCAAGGGATCTTTCGACTCTAAAAAGAACGGACGATGCGATTATATATATCGAGAAAACACGTATTATAGTACAAGTTGGTTTTGGAATTTCTTTAGCTAAATTCAACTATGATTATTACAAGGTAAATATATACACTGTAATTATATACATGTTATGTGCATGTGTGTGTGTGTTATTAAAAAATAGTAGATATATATACACTCTATACAAACTTATAATTAAAAAATTTAAATATTATATATCTTATAGTTATATATTTAAATATATTTTATCTGAATTTATATATATTTATTCTAAAATATATAGCTTGATGTTGGTCTAATATCGATTAATGGCAAGATGAGAGGAACCATTGATGGATTAGCGATAACAATAAGATTCGTTATCGACTACAACGATATGTGCAATATGAATATAGACTCTATCAAAATAACAGAATTTGGAAATCTTAATCTGAAAATGACCGGCTTGGGCTTTCTTAGTAGACTAACATCTACGACAATGACCTGGTTGACGAAAATGTGGCGAAACAAAATTGTTGAAGCTATTGAAATTAAAATCAAAGATATAATTAAGAAACAAGTAAACCAATTATGTAAAGGTTATGACGAAAATCAAAAAAAGATAACGAAATATATACTTTCGATTTTGTAAACATAATAAATTTCTGCATATGACGACATGTAACGATTAATTTATACATGATTTTAGAATAAAAATTTGCGCATCCGTCTATTGTAACTAATACAAATAAAGTGTGTAACTAATACAAATTTGATTTATGTTGTCTGAATGTGAACACTTTTTTTTTTTTTATTTTCAAGTATCACATTTTACAAATCATATAGAATAATATACATAGACTGTGTTTGGGAAGCGCGCTATTGTTCATTCTATCTTTATCAATCATTAATTGCAAAATAAAGATAGAATGACGCAATACTCCGCGCTCTCCAAAAAACCGCAGCATTAAATGTAAAAATGTCTGATGGTCTTTTTTTCTTTCTCTAAATCTAGTATATAATAATTAAATAAAATTTACCTATATACTTAAAACTGATCGGATTGTGATCAGACATTTACTTCGGTTTCTGTACAAATATTTTCTTCTGTAATTTCAACAGCAACAGTCGTTTCGGAAGTAGGTGCTCTTTGTGCATCGTAATCTACACATTCTTGACTGGAAGAAGTATTTTCATCTTGTTGCTCTACTGAGCTTTCCTTCGCGGTAATGTTGGTAATGACAATGCTACTGGTTGTGTCAGAAAGATTAACAGGTGCAGGATTATCCTGAATCGTATTATCATTACTAACGTTAACAGTTGTGTTCATTGCACGCTTTAAGGCTAAATATTCCTCCACAGATCCCGTCGGAGCCTTTTCGAATGTAACATCAGTTGTTGACGACTGCGAAGACGGTGAACTTAAACTTGGCGATTTACTTAGTTTCGATAACCTTTGCCGTTCTCTTAAACGTTTTCGTATTTCCGACTGTATCTTCGATTCTTTTATTACGTTTTGAACGTCATCAGTTTGATAATATCGTGATACCCAAGTTTCTGCCGTACTGTTCGTTTGTGCTTCATTAACTTGAGATGTAGATTGCTTGTGTGCTTCGGAAGGTGTGGTACTTCTTTCTGGAGTCTTATCTTCCTCGCAGTTTCCTATTTCCACATCGCAGTAATCATCCAATTCAATTATCTCGTCTAAATCTGTCGACTTCTCTTCTTCAACTTTATTTTTCTTGATTATTTTTTCATCTGTCGTAATTTCTCCTTCTTCGATAATCGTGTTTTCTTCCGAGGTATTTATTTGCTGTTCAACATTCGTATCGTCTGCTTTACTCGATAGTTCTGTGTCCTCAGTAGTACTAATCTGCTTTGATTTCGACGAGTGTCTGATAGTAGATGCAGACTGTAATTTTGTATGCGATTTTTTCTTCGATTTCTTTCGTTTTTCCGCAACGTTCTCTGAAGAGATTGATATCGATAACGTATTGTTTTTTATATCTATACTTCTTTCAGGCATCAATGTACTTGCTTCACTCTTAATATTTAAGTCCGTCTTAGCAATACTGTTTTCTTTTGAGTGATGCAAGTTAGTCTTGTTGGAATTTTTTGTATTATCATTAGAATCTTCAGCAGATTTTCCGGTTTCTGTTGTACATTTTTCTGCATTTTGATTTTCTTGTGCTTTTTTGCAAGTTTCATTGTCACTGTCACTGGACAACTCCACAATTGGGGTTGGTTGAACCACTAAAACAACATCTTCGTCTTCGCCTAATCTTTGTTGTTCACTGATAATTCTTTCTAACTGTTTTCGGCAATTTTCTTTTGCCTTGGCGTCATCTTGAGCCGTTTTAATTTTATTTTCTAATGTTTCATTGTTAGTTTGTTCTGAATTAGCAGTTGGAATTATGTCTTCCTCTTTTCGTATTAGAGCTCTTATTGCACGAGCTCTCATTTCAAGTTCCAATAAATCCAACAAACTATCTCCCTCTTTTTCTTTATTTTTGTCATTCTCCTTTTGAATAGTAACATCTTTAGTGCTATTATCACTTTTAATTATGGTTTTTAATTTTACGTTAGTTTTGTCCTCATTTTTCTTATTATTACTTCTTGCCTTTCCTTTGAGCTTTATTTTATCCTTTTTCTTTCCCTTATCAGTTCCTTTTTTAGACATATCATCATCTGTCCATTCTTCTGTGTCAGAGATAATTTCTAAAGATGGTCCTATTAAAAAAATAAAATAAAATAATTTTACATATTGAACTCATGTTAAAATATTCACTATTTAAGCATTACCTGAATCTTCTGATTCACTTGTGTCTGAGGATTCCAACATGGGTTTTCCATTTAATATAGATACTATTCGAGCTTTAGACATACCGCTCAATTCACTCACACACCACTCTTCTAATTCAGTAAAGTCCATGTGCTGCATAAGCAATAAATAACAGTTATTTATACTTCAAATATATATAATTTTTATATAAATTTTCTTAAATATTGTAATTCTTACCTTCAACACTTGAGGCAACATCATGCGTATCTTTTCTGGTTTGACAGATTTAAAAAGTTGACGAGCTAATTCCTTACGATTGGACAAATATTCCTTAATTGGTTTCAAATCACTTGCATCAATTTCTTCATCTGAAGATGAAGACGAGTAAGAAGAAAAACTACTGTGTGCCTAAACACAAAATTATTTTCAAGATAAAAAAATTGTACAATAAAGTATACAATAAAATTCTTGTATAATTTAAAGTAATATATATTAACATTCACCTCACTTCTACATGTGCTGTTTTTAGTTGCAGGCATCTTTATATAAGTTTTTTTCTTTCAGTTTGTATCTTTACCTTTCTGCACGAAATTTGAGATTTTATAAATATTTTATGTGCTTTTTCAACTCTATGTTGAGTGTTTTAGCACGCAAATGTAGCGTTGAAAGGACATATATAATCTTTGGTTTGGTGCATATATGGCTCAAAGGACCGTTTCAAGCTAGTCCATACGCCATTCTAAGTCTTTAGGAATCGTGACACAGGTTCTAAACCGTGGTTTGGGTACAAGCCACGGAGTTGTACGTTCGTTAAAAATACTGATAAACTGAAGAAATCGGTGTAAAAACACCGAAGATTGTCCAAAAATATCTAAGCGTAACTACGCACATCTAACCGGTACGGCTGATGCAACACCACTTTTTTTCAGATTCTTGTTTTTCCATATATAATCTTTAATGTGTCCGTCTCGGGAAACATTTTAAACACAAAACACATTGTTTTTTCTATGACTCATGATTTGGTGCAAAAATGGCTTAGTGGACTGAATTAAGTTAGTCCACACGCCATTTTAGGAACTTCTAGTGAATACATTAAACATTTCTATGACCAGAGAGAAGCCTGAGAGCGGCCAGGCTCATAAGAGAATGTGTAATCACTTTTCCGGCAGGAAACTGGCGCATGTCCACGGGTGGTGCACATTGAAACTACGTAGCGATGTCCACGAGTGACTTGTCGATACGTATCGAACCGATCCAGCGGGTAAAAGCGCACAACTTGTTTTGATTTCGTTCCGTACTATGTAGACAGTGTGTATTTTATTATTATTATTGTAGTACGCATATGTGTATTAATGTAAATAAATGTATAAAAGTGCACTGTCACTCTAATAATTAGAAAAACGTGATGTAAATGAAAATAGATGTAAAGGAATCAAATTTGCATGATTTAAAACTTTGCGGTATATACATGATGAGATAATCTAAAAAACACCTAAAGTGAATTACAAAGTAAGCAGAATACTGTTTACATTTATATTCAAGCATATAAATAAGTGTTTAAACAAACTAAATGTATTAATCAAGCAACTAAATTTCTCTCAAAAAGAAGTGTGTGACTGTACTAGGGTTAGCTTTTTTTGTTTATTTTTTTTAAAACTGGCAACAAAATTATAAATATCAATAATTGTGTTTTAGTGGAGAGATGATGAGAAAAAAGAGTGAGAAATTATATGAATTCTAAAATTTTTAAAACAGCAAAGCAAATGAAAACTACTAGTATAATGCAATAAATTAAAAAACATTAATGTACAAAATGCAAGCAGAAGTAAATAAAATATTGAAAAAGGCATTGCAACAAGCTAAGGAATACGACAGGATTGGAAATATTGGTAAAGCTTATGCATGTTATATTGCTGTAGCAGAATTGTGTCCTGCAAGAAGGTCAGAAATTGAAGAACAATTTACAGATGTACTATGTAAGAAATATAATATATACTCAATAGAATATTCTTACTATCGTATAACAATACTAACAATAACAGTTTTTAGGTGAATGGGGTATACAATTAGCAGAAAGAAACAGATTTACAGCTGTTATACAGTGTTACAAACATTCCTTGGATATTTATCCAAACAATCCTCGCATGTTAAATAATTTTGCTGCTCATTTATTGAGGTATATATAAGTTTTACTTTGTGTATTTAATATCACTTAATTAATGTTTTTGACTATCATGATAATTGTTGTATTTTTTTATATAAAGATTCAAAAAATGTTGCATATACTTTACAGAAATAGTGATCCGTTAAAAGCAATAGAATATTTGAAAAAAGCTCTAAAAGTCAATTCCAACTTTTTACCAGCAGAACGAAATTTGCAAAATGCATACAGTATGGCAGTGGATAGATGGCATTTTACAATGCTCAATGACAAGAAGAGAAATAGTGCTTTTGAGCATGCCATACGCAGAAGAATTAATCAAGGATATAATACTGTATTGGATGTGGGAACAGGAACAGGTCTCTTGAGTCTCTATGCAAAAGATGCAGGAGCTAAAAAAGTTTATGCATGCGAATGCTCTGAAGTAATGACACAAATTGCAAAGAATGTGTTTGAATCTAACAATGTTAGCGATATAAAATTAATACCGAAATCGTCATTTGAACTTGAAATACCTTCAGATATTCCAGAAAGGTTTGTATGATTACAAAGTAGCAACATATGTTTGTATTATATATTTATTTTAACATTATGCAAATTTATTAAGTATAAAAGTATGATTTAACATTAAAATAAAAAAAAAATACAATTTTAGAGTAAAATTGATAGTGACCGAAACTTTTGATGCTGGATTATTTGGAGAACTTGTGATTCCATCTATGATTAAAATGCATATGAGTATTCTGGATTCCGATGGTATGATAGTACCTATGAGCGCGACAGTGTATGTAGCAGCTATTGAATGTGAATATATTAGACACAAATCATCAATGATTTTTGACAAACTGTCGAATAACTGTCCTTTAAGTTTTGCCAATATATGTGTATTATCGGACGATGAATATTACGATACAGAAAATCTGGCAAAAGTTCAAATTAATTACATTACAGAGCCAAAAGTGCTCTTTAACATAAATTTTAATAATTTATTAGAATTGCAAGAATTTTATTGCAAGGATGGAATAAAACAGATGTTGGAAGCAAAGTGCAGGTACACTGGTATGATAGACGGTCTGGTTGCTTGGTTTGAATTGCATTTAGACGAGAAGATTACGCTAAATTCCTCGGATGGAGAATCCTGTTGGCAACTCGCGGTTTTCCCGACGATACCCATCACATGTTCTGAAAACGATTTCTTGACGATAAAGGCGGAAATGTCTAACAGCAGACTGAAATGTTCTTATAACAGAAAAAACAATCTAATTGATTGTGAATTATATAAAGTATATCGTCTGCCAAAGGAAATGATTGTCTTTCTGAATGACTTCAGTTACATCAAATTGCTCATCGAAATAAGTAGACACCAAGCAAGTAGAAAAATTCAATATATTTTGGATACCTCGCCTTTTCCAATTTACGGACTAACACTTTTAAAAGAATGTAAAGATAGTGAAATTTTGTACTATAAAACTGATGATTCAAGGCTCAAGTCTCTCGTTGAACAAATAGCTCGAAATAACGGACTTGAAAACAAAGTATATGCGATATCAAGCTATGACGAAATTCAAGTTTCTCTAGATTCTATATTTGTTCACAATTTTGATATGAAGGGTGAATTGAAAGACGATCAGAATTGCTGTTACGAAATTTTCAAGTATTTATATATACTGTATATATTTATTGTACGCTTATACTGTGACAATCTTTATGTGTTAAAAATTTGCTATCACTATTTTCAGGCACTTACTTAACCCAAACGGCGTGTTACTGCCAGAAAAAGTTTTTCTTATTGGACAATTAGTGTATTCTGAAGACTTACCTAATATGGTTTGTGTACAAGATGCGAATCTTCAAAGATCATCTCGTTTTGTTTATACTGACACGGTACAATAAATTTTAATACAATTTTAAATGTATATAACAACGAGAATCAAGTATCATGCGAGAAAAAAGGCGATTTTTTTCATGCTATGATACAATTTGATTTTTGTCACTTGTATATACAGGGTGTTTCAGAACTATGGGATCAAACTTCTAGGGGTTATTCAGTGCAACAGTAGAAAACATTTGAGTATAGGGACCCATGTCCGGAAAAGTGTCACTACCGCACTACGGCCCTAAGACGCGNCTATTTAGGCAATTCATCGTCTTTCTAAATTTTAACGCGTCTTAGGGCCGTAGTGCGGTAGTGACACTTTTCCGGACATGGGTCCCTATACTCAAATGTTTTCTACTGTTGCACTGAATAACCCCTAGAAGTTTGATCCCATAGTTCTGAAACACCCTGTATATCTTACATAGATAATTTAATATAAAAAAGAGATATATAAAACAATTTTATTAAAAATTAAGGTCTCAATATTTCTGTCGCCATCTTAAATTGATATGTTAGAAGCAAGAAAAAATACACCAAAGTTTCGTTTGTATGAAAAGTAATTTTACATGTGTATATATATTCTAAGTGCAAAAGATATAAACAACGCATAAGACTTTGTCGTTTTTTCGATTCTTAACTTAGTTCTCATAACGATTAACATCACTATTGTCAAATCAAACTTGACGCTCTCAAGATTATTGAGAAACCTTAAAAATACTAAGAGAAGAAAAACGTTTATATATTTTATAAATATATAAAAGAAAACTTTTTTTTTCAGAGCTCGGAAAGCGAAGACGATCTACATATACCACGTAATATACCTGATGAAATAAATCAAAGTACAAATTACAAAATTGCAGAATATATTAATAAATATAAAGTAAGTTGGCAAAGGATTGTTTTACTTCAGATTAAAACCACATCGGTTTGCATAAAAATGTTATTTCTGTGGTGTATTGTTGCAGATCGATCAAGTGTTTGATTTGAATTTAAGTTTGTATTCGTGTGAAGTATCATCCGAGGCACGAAAGCTGATAGAAATAAATGAGATGGAAACTACCGAAGCACTTGTAAACTTTGGAAAAATAGATAGCACAAACGTGAAAACTTTACCAAATGCTTTGATATGTTGGTACAAAATTCTACTTGATTCGGACCATACACATGACACGAAAAAAAACAACTCCTTTATGAATCATACCGCAATCGTTTTTGAAGATGAATTAAAAAACATTATTTTGAGAGACAAAGAAGTAAAGGTTAAAATCTATCAAATGAAAGGTTTAGTGAAAATTTCATTATTAAATTTGTAAAAGTTTACAGGAAGAATATTAAACTATATTTTATAATTTTATACGATTTCTTGTGTGTGTGTGTGTGTTTGTACATGTGTGTGTAAAGTACAACTTTGACAAAAAATACAATTTATTATATACAACTATTTATTATATATAAATATTTTTGTACAAAATAATTTATAATACACTTTTTCATATGTATTACAATTTGAATTTGTATAATATGTATATAATGTGTATATTCACATATTATTCAAAAGTTTATATATAACTAATATATAATAACAATACCAATAACAATTTTTTATATACCTTTCCCATATATTATAACTTTGATTTCTCTCCAGTATTTAATACTTCACATAAATATGGAGCAATTTTTTCAGGATTATTATTGTGAACATCATGATTCCCGTTTATTTTAAAGTTCGTAATCGGTACTTGAACTTCGTTTTTCATTTTTTGGAAGAATGTATCTCCTATAGTTAAAGCACTTTCAGATGCAATAAACATATATAGGGGAGCCGAAATTCTGCAATTTATCTGTCTGCATTCGTCAAGATTCAAATGCAGGAAAGGATAATTTTTTGTTCGTACATCTCTATTGAGTATATACTTTCCATTTACTTCTGTAGCTGCACGTTCAAATAATGCATCTGCAGCTTCTGAATTCAAGTTGCCTAATCTCTTATTCTTAAAAGCATATAAAATTTCCTCTTTAGTATAAGATGGTGGCTTTACATTGCTACTGCCTTTTAACATATACGCATATTGTTGTTTGTAGTAATTTATAAAGGTATCTTTATCAAATTGTTTATGTATAAAAAGAAACCCATCAAGACAAATTAGTTTTTTAAGTCTGTGAGGTTCTATAACACTAAAAATGATACCTATTTGCGCTCCCATACTATGTCCTATATAAATACAGGTTTGCCACTGTAGCGCCTTAAGAATAAAGTGCAATGCGTTTGCATATTCTACACAACTTAGTGTCATCCAGGATGGGAAGTGTGATGACCATCCATGGCCAGGTAAATCTATGCACACATAATAAAAGGATTCCATTGGTAAATATTTCATTAATCTAGTGAATGTTCCCGCATTATCTTCACGACCATGCACCATTAATACTGGTTCTCCAGCGCGAGAACCATATGTTCTGGCAGCAACATGACCCCAAGGTACAATAAGTTTTATCTCTTCAAATTGTACTTTTGCCATTCTTGATGATATGTGTGTTTCCTTTATTTAATATATATATATATTTTTTTCTCACACATATATTTATAGAGTAGTTGTATTTTATTATTCTGAAATAAATAGCATTACAAAAAATTATTTACATATGATAAGGCAATCTCGCGATTACTACTCTATTATTTCAGCACTATAAGCAAACTGTTAACAAATTGTGCTAGATCGGCCTCTTTGGGGGGGAGAAAGCCGGTCATATTATACATACAAGATATCTGTTTAAGCTCTTTAATAGTGGAATTTCAATTTAATCCAATCAAAATATATAAAAAACCTAATCTCAAGTTTATTGAAATTTTGATCACATTTCAATCCAATCTCAAATTTCAGTCCTAATCTATAATCTGATACGAGCTTTTAAAAGATTAAAGATACGCGGAGTGATTGATAAGTATCCAAAACGATGCATCGTTACTCCTTACGTATAATTACATAAGTGTCACATACGGGATTTTCAGTTTATTGCATATAGTGAAACTTAGAAAGTCATGTTCTTTATGATCAACAAATATTTTTAAAAATTATTCATAAGGTAAAATTTTTAAACCAAAAGAATCTCTTAACTAGGGAAACATATGAAGTTTTAAATCTTTAAACTGATCTCTAAAATTTGCGTTTTTGGAGTTACGGGATTATAGGGAGTGACGGCATAATGACAGTAGTATTATGTTGCACTATTGTTTAGCAAACTGTTACACAAACACTATATGCGATAATAAGCCAGCGTTTAACATTTGTTCTTCCGAAGAATAAAATTTGTCAAAGACACAGCAATGTGACGTACTACTGTCGCTATTAATGCGCATCGTTTCACTTATCAGTTACGCCTTATGTAGCTTCAGAAAAAAGGTCATATAATGACAGTGCATTTTTCTTGTGAAAAACCTTCATTAGAACAAACGATAAGCAACGAGTGAAAAGCAGATCGTCTATTGAATATATATTTCTTATTCGCGTATCTTATTGTAAAAAAACAGACAGTCGTACGATTTTTTTTCTTCAAAGTTAATCTTTAAAAGTATATCCTTAAAGTAAGGAGAAATTTTTATACGTCTAGTAAATATATAGGCTGCGTTCCGACATTCACTGCCAGTATTTAAAAACCTGTACTTTTTACGTTATATGTTTTATCGATTTCCAGTATTGGTTATACATATCGGAACGGAGTCATAAATTAATTACAGTACCTTTTATATGTTATAAGAGTCCGTGAGAAATATAAAAACAATCCTTTGTGAAATGTTCAGCTATCAAACATAATGAAATATACTTTGGTAATATGAGAAAGTTAAACCCTGTGTCTGCAGAAAATCGACTAACATTTGATGCGACAAATCCTGTTTATACGTATATTTCTTGCGATAAAAAAACAAAGCAAATAGTTTCAAACAGCATGTATGTAAATGTGTATGTAAATCCGCATGTAGATGTGCATATGATCGTCTTTTTTTTATCTTTGACTATTTTCATCATTTGTTATTATAATAAGCCACTTAGGTCTCAGTTTTACAGCATATAATTACAGCACATAATTAAACTTTTGTTTTCATAAAAAAAACTTACAAAAATTTATAATAAGAAGAAAAAGTTTAAACAAAAAAGAAAAATAGCTGGAAATAGGAATTATTTTGAATGAAATTGATTTTGAAGTTTCTGACTAAATATATCAAAATTCAAGAATTTATAGAAAGAAGCTGATACGAGAAACCAAATATGAGAACAATATATTATCTCATTGTCAGACATTTATGTACATACTAAGAACTACAAGACGTAAAATTTTTTATAAATTCTTATGTGAGTTATGATTCCATAATAAATTATGGTAAATTATGATTGTATGCATTATTAATGATTCTATGTATTATTACTCCCTCAAACATCGTCAATCATTATCTATCAATGAACTACTTATTATATATGTAAAGTTAGATATATCATTAATTGCTTCTGACCGAAATATAAAATGATAAAAACAATGTGTGGAATCGTGTACATGTACAACACTATATGTCAGATAAAATAAAACCTGGCGCTAAATATATGCGCAAGTTTGCAGTACATAAATTTCATTTGCATAAAATTATACTTTAAAGTTACAAGATCAAACTGATAATACGAATAAGAAAACTTCAAGAATTAAAAGTGATAAGTATGCAACATAAATGCGCCACCAACACAATGAAAAGCTACATATTTTATATACATATGTAATATTTATTTTTTATTCATCCTAATAACTAAATTTATCGAAAATAAATTTTGTCAAGTGTTTGCGATGCACCAAAACCGTAGCAGATCACACATAAAGCTGGGTATACACATAGCGAACAAACGCCGAACGAACAGCGAACGCGAACGTTCGTTATTATCATTCGTCAGATGTAGACGCTAAAACAAATGCGAACAGAACATTCGATTCGCATTCGGATCGGTTCCCTCATGAGGCGGTATATCAAAGAAAATTCGTGCGCGATATGGGCGCGCATACGTGCTGTTCGTTGCTGTTCGCTGTTCGCTATTGTTGACGCGAATGTCCGAACGTTCGCGCTCGCTGTTTGTTCGGCGTTCGTTCGCTATGTGTATACCCAGCTTAAGAGGATGCTGAACCGTCCTGTTTTACCATCATTTCGTAGTTCCATTTTTTTGTGAAAACTATGAATCGGAATAAAAAATCCTTCTCCAGAAATAAAGGAAATATAGTAAAGAATGGGATAAAGCCTAAAAATTTAAGAAAAAC